TGAATTATAAAACAGAAATGTAATAATATTAAAAATTTTTATCAATAACTGCAAAATGTTTTTTCTGTCTACATATTAAAGAGTACTGAATGTATAAAAAAGGCTTTGGTTCTGACGCCCCCAGACTACAGAAAAAATTGATTTACATAAACCATAAAGGATGCAATCATACATATTTTAATTTAATAATAATAAAAAATATATTAATAAATACATATATTGTTATAAATATATTTATATTTGCAATAATATTTTTATATATTTATATCTATAAGTATATAACATATAATATATTAATATATAAAAATATTATTATAAATATTCTTCATCACCTCCAACCGCTATTCAGAAATAAAAATCTCAATGCTAAAAACAGGAAACTGATATATAACCCAATAATTCGAGTGGTTGGAATGGCGACCTTGTATCCAAGACAGCCCACTTCAGCTTCAATTGATTGCTATTTTATGATAAATTTTTTAGAAGGGTTTGAATAGAAATGAAAAGACATGGAACGCTGTTTCGAGTATTGCCAAGTATTCATCGTCAGTGGTTTTAGGATTATGATGAGTACTTGGCAATTCTCGAAACAGCGAAATGCTTGTTGTTGTCTTTTCATTTGTATTCGAACCTTACTAAAAAACTAATTAATTATAATATATCTATGAATTGGTCATGCATTAATCCAATATATGTTAAATAATTAATTTTTTAAAAAAACGATTTGTGCATTTTATAAAAAGCAGAATTAAGAAACTATTGCTATCAAAATTTTATTCAAGTATTTTGATCTTAGAATCACTACAGTTAATTTATACATATGAAATATAAAAAGTCCTTTCAAAGCCAATAACATCTCAATATCTATATGCAAAATTCAAGGATTTATTAAATTACCAAAACAAAAAAAAAAAATGATTTTACTGCAAAACTTATAACTCGGATATATAGTACTAAAAATAAAAACCAAAAAAAAAAAAATGAATAAAAACAAAATTGACTTCAACAGTACAATTGAAACAAATATGCGCATCCTTGAATGAGTATCCTTTTACATATAAAATACTAAGTAAATATTTACACAGAAATTCTAAAGTAAATACGAAAAGTTTCTAATAAATAAATATGTTTATTGATTCAACAATATTAAAACCAAAAGGACAATATTGGGTGACGAAAGGATAACCGACAACAAGCAAATAGTTAGGAAGCCAACCAAAAATTTACAAACGTTAAAGGAGAAAATAAACAATAAAATAGCAACAGAACTTTGCACGCAAAATAATTTTTGAGTTCCTCCGGGCGTCGCTTTATGCTGAATAATTTAATTGAAAAAGGATAGGATACGGATCCGAAAGAGTTTGTATCTCGTTTTTGAATGCCAGTATGAAAACGACAATTCAAAGTTGAAATTAATTAGACAACACAAATAAAGGTGAAATAATTTGTTGCTCTTGCGGTATAAAGTTTTGGAAAATTGTTTTATTATTAAAATCAAAACTCAAATAAGAACTATTTTCACGCAACTAAAAAGCGGAGGGAAAGAGGAAATACTGCAACAAGAATTAATCAATTTTGAACTATTAAAATTATTGCAAGTGAACTGTAAGCTAAGCAAATGCAATTTAAAGTTGCTTCAAGGATTAAATATATTGCATTTACCTACCTTCAAGCATATTTACCTACCTTCCATATGTTTCTATTAACTGTGCTACTTATTAAAGGATAATTACAACTCAACCACAACATTTGCACACAAGCCGTATGTTTGTTTACAAACTTGCAAGGATTATTAGTCCAAAATAAATTTGTTGATGTGGTTTAAGTCTCTATATATATGCTGGTTTGTATATGACCAATTTATTAACCTTCTTGATGCAAACATAAATATCCTTGTATAGTTGCATAAGCGATTCGTTACTATAAACTAAATTTTGTTTAAAGCTGTGAAATGAAAATACGGGTATATATGCTTAAGCAGTCTTAAGTGCTATTATTATTGCTTTAATAAAACACTTTCACTTATGTTTTAGCACATACTTAAATCTTAAACAAGCAAGGATCTAAGCCACATTGTGCATGTACACAACTATTATCATAACTATTATTAAAAAAAAAAAGCTCATTTAAATGGTGAATAAATCAGTTTAATGTCCTTTTTATATACAACACATGTAATTAACATGTGTTTTAATGCACAATCCTGCCACTGAGCGTGTAGTCATAATTTAATGTTGCACATATGTTTCACTAAGATTTTTATAAGTAAGTTTATATTAGCCATGGCATTTGAGCACTGCAACTGATTTATGTGCTTAATCAGTGGAGCTTAGGCTACAGAAATTGTATGGCTTATGCTTAATTCGTAGTACTTTTGTACAGAAATTATATGGATATTTATCTTTATATAATATTCGGCTCTATAAGAAAATTAATTTTTATTTCAATTTAAATAAAATAGTTCAAAATAAAAAATGCGCCATGTTTAAATTTAAAAAAAAAGGCTTAAGTTACTTTATGTTTTTTTAAAATTTCTTAAAGTCAATGATTAGTAATTCTTCTTCTTCTTGTTCTTGAAATAGTGCTATTACGCACTTTTAGTCTATAATGGCTGGGGCTTATCACTACTCCACACTAGGCTTTAACTAGGCTAAGAAATCATATCACTTATTTGTCTTTTAGTTGATGACGGACCTTAAATCAGCATATCTTCCTGAGAATCCAGAAGTGGACTTGAAGATTGTTAGGGCGGGGTTACGTAGCTTTAGTGAATAATTTTAGAGCTCTGTCTCTGATATATTTTTTCAGTGAGTCAATCCTAAGATCTCTATGTATATCTGTTGATCTAATGTACCAGGGAATCTTAAACAGTCTTCTTAAAGCCAGGTTTTGAGCTATCTGTAATTGCTTTAAGGTAGTATTTGAGGCTTTGCTATATGTAACACATCCGTAAGGTAGTGCTGGTCTAATTACTTGCATTTAAAGTAACTTTCTGTTTTTAAAGTTGAAGTGATAATTATTAAATAGCGGCTTTAATAAATGCAGAATCGTAGAGGTGCTATTCCGTTTGTATTGCAAATGTTTAAGCCAATTGAACCGTTTGTCAAAAGTAACCCCCAGATAACTGAGCTTAATATTAGATCCAAATGATCTATTGGCAGGAGATCTAAAGTATCTCAGCAAAACAAACTTATGATATACAAACAAGTCTTGAAGCCTATGTGCCTCTATGGCGTCCAAATTTGAGATTGTGCAAACAATTATATATATATATGTGATACTAAGGTACCAAAACAAAGCAGTTAGGGATGCAGTTAACGCTCCGTGGTATGTGCGCATTGTTGACCTACATCGTGACCTTAAAGTAGCTACTTTCAAGGTTGCCAAAACACATTATGATAGGCTCATTCAATACTTAAACAGCACTATTTCGGCATTACAGACGCTTAAGTCGCTTCAAATCAAAGGACCTTTTGAGGTGTTTCAACCAGCACGAAGATGACTAGCTCAGATCTATGTGCTCACATTAGATAAGTAACATTACTTGTAATATTAAATTGTTAGTCAGTATGACTAGTTGTTGTTAATTTAAACTTTGAACTTTGTTTAAATATAATAAAAAAAAAATTATTTATACTCTTAATCTTTTTTGCTTTGCTTAACTTTTCTAAAGCACTCTTACTTAATAGTGTCTGTGACCATTTAGATGATCCACTGTAATAAGAGCTCTGTTGAATTCTAACAACAAGTTATTCAGATGATTTTATAACAGTTTACTTTGAAGCGAAACAGACAGGAATATTCTTCCATCTGCGGTTCACTTGTTCTTTGAATATGAAGTTAGTTTTAATAACTAACTTGGCTGAGTCAAGAGGTATTTATACTATGTACTTTACAGAAAGCATAACAATGGTAGTACCTTGCCATGCAAATATCTTGAACACATACTGTCACTTAGCATCCATACCAAGTAGTAGGAACTTCATACATAAATAATAGATAAGTTTTAATTGCAGCTTACCTATTCAAATGGATGCATACATTTCTCTCGGACCACTCAGCATATTTAGGTAAGGATACTACCTTTTTAATGCCAAGCACTTCTGCAATGATCTGGTAGTTGAGCATACTTTTTTATATTCAAGCTGTGAGTTTAGAATTCTCTACCTACTTAATTGTAAAGTATAGAACCATCTGTATATATTGAACAGTCCTTTATTCAATTTCACTTTTTTCTATTTCATTCGACAGGGAAAATGAGTATAGAAATTTCGTTCGTTATTGAAACTTGGAATAAAGTATATAGAACGTGCTACTTTAACTGCTAATTTAATGAATAGTAGAATAGTCATTGAAGAATTTAAATGAATTCGTTATATGTAACATTTTCAAAATAAGGAGACTTTATGAATTATTATCCATGCCCTATAAATAATACCGAGAACGATGTTTAAAAATTAATACATTAAAATGTACACTAAAGAAAAATGAATTTTTAATGGCTACTTGACTAATTGTAAAAGCAAATAATATTCATATAAATACTGTTTGTAATAAAAAACAATATATATGTAATATAATAAAAGTTATCATTAATATATATTTTTAAACACAATTTTTAGTAACCTTATTGAACTCATTAAAATTGAAAGATAATTACTATAATTTGTTTAATTTTTTACCTTTTCAGCGTAATAGTTAAAAACTCATTACAAATTGAACAAAATATTTTACTAAATGTATTTAAAAATATACATAATAACAAACATGTGTTGTATTGGTTTTACATCCAAAAAATAAGACTTTCGTTATAGATGCATTCATACGATTTTTAAATTGAAGAGAAAACGAAATGAAATTATTAATAAAATGTCTAAAGTTTTTAATTTTATTTGCTATTATTAAATTGGCTACACAGGTATATATCAAAATTTATTAAGTACAAAGTTATATCTAATACAAAATAATAATTTCCCAAAACAATATTCTCAGCATTGCTATGAGCTACGTATGACATCATTTCGTACTGAAGACACACCAAGCTATCGCTTTTTCATGAACTTCAATGGTGACAAAACATCACTCTCATCTGTATCCAAAGTGTTAAAGGATGTCAATGTACCAATGTGGCATGTTGTTTTGTCACAAATGCCACAAACATCTAAAAAGGATTTGCCGAAGACACTATATAATGGAACATATAAAATATGTCAATTTTGGCGTTATATTAAACATACCAAAGCATTTAACAATGTCGTGCATTTAATCTTTGACAAGGAAAGCGGTTCAAATATGAGTTTCACTTGTCCATTAGTTTCGGGCACATATGTTATGCAAAATATACGTGTACCACCAGATACGGCTATTTTGAAATTGATGTACTGGCCAAATACGATGTATTCGCTAATAGGCACAGTCTACTCCCAGGGACAGAATAAAACAATGGAGAAACTATGCCGCTATGAAATTAATGCAACAGTCAAGAAATTATGTTAGATATGGAATTATTCGATTTAAATAGAATAATAAAATTTTTGTCAGTCAAAAATTCAATTAATTAAAAGAATATAAAAATAAATTTTTGTTGTTGTAGTTCACTACTTTTTATAAATAAAAAAGTAAAAATAATTGTGTGGATCTTTAAGCTTATAACACTTTTGGACGCGATTTCTTTGCTACGTAAATTTGATAACAGTTTTCAGTAGAGCCAGTTATTTTGAATAATATATCACTGCATATATATAAGCTATATATACAGATATAGCTTATTTCTTAAGATATTGGAGATTTAAATGGTAAACTTTTTTTCAATTATGTCAGGAAAAATTACACACGCATTCTAGAACCAATTAGTTAAATATATGTAATTTTTGAATTGATTACACAATTATGTATATCTTTGAGCTCCAAAACGTTTTCGGGTGCGATTCTGATTCGTTGGCTATGCAGATTTGACAAAGAGTTTTAGTAGATTCAGCTAATTCAACCTGATATAGCTTACTTTTAAAGATATAGAAGGGGAAACTGAATGTGTGGACTACACTATCACAATATGCACACGCTATGTAGAGCAAATAAGTATTAGCAATTTTCACTTCTATGGTATGTGTCGAAATAACTTACTTAACCATAACAACATACGTTTTAAGACTACATAATTTTAACATTGATCGCACAATTATGTATATATATATCTGTAACATTCATTCACACGATTCCAATTACTCGGGTATGCTGATATGACAACGGGTTTTAGAAGAGTGAACTTATTTGAGCCAGTTTCACTTCTACGGTATATGTCGATATAACTTAACAAGGTATTGAGATTTAAAGTTCTACCATTTATCGAAATATCAATTTAATCAATTTTTATATTGATTGCAGAAACGACGAGTAAAAATTAGTCTACATGTTGATGTAAATGTTGATGTAAGTTTTATGTAAAAGTTTCTCTCTTTAAAGCCCGATATCTAGAAACTTAAACTATATTAATATATAGCGTACAATTAAATATGCTCAGAATAGTTGTCTTTACTCATATATGTTGTTAAATGGGCGTACTAGTGTTTATATAATTTGAGAAGGAAAATAAAACCATTTAATGTTCTCATTTTGATTTAAAGCCTAAGAATGAGTAAAGATGACTACGGTAACTACAAAAGACTTGACTACCTAAATCGCGTTGCTCACTTTTACAATAAAGATTTTTTTGAATGATTCGAAGAGTAATGAAGAAACAACAACAAAAATTTAATTACTTTATTGAAATTTGGCTGACCATACAACGCTGTTTCGAGTAGTTCCAAGTATTCATCATCAGGAAATAATCGAATTTTTTATTTTAATTAGTTTATAGTACGTATATAATTTGTTTGGACTGCAAGTGTCAAGCTTAGAACTCATGCCTAACACTTGTAATATTTAACATTTTTAATTAGCTAAAATAGCTTTTGTTTTATAAGATACATTTAGACAAACTATTATTATAAAAAACTGTGAAAGCATGCAAAAATATGTATCCTCGCAGTTTTATTTATTCATTGGTTTAACCCAGTTGTGAGCTTATTTAGCATTTGCAAAACACTCAAGTTTTATTTTAGTTTTGTCTTAAGTATGAATTTTAAGCATTTCTTTTGCATATTTTACATAATATTTTTGCTTTCTCCTTCATCCATGTGGAGGATGAAGGACTTTAATCACGCCATTGCATTTTCCATGCAAGGATTGTATAATGCAATATTTACTATAGTTATGCACGCATTCTTTTTTTATTCAAAAAAAATATATTTAAACAAAAGTAGGAAATTGTTGAAGAAAATGCAGAGAAAATCTTAAAAACACGCCTACGCGTGAAGGACTCGAAGGGCGTAGGTAAGTAAATATAGTCGTAGAAGAGAAAATAAAAATTTTTATCGCAGATAGAAAGATTCTTTTTCATGAAAAATGAAAAATATTTTAATTATTTGAATTAATATTTCTTTGGTGATATATGTGTTTAAATAAAATAATAAAAAACAACCTTACTATATTAATTCAACGTAATTAACTAGTTTAAACAATAACAGTTGAAATGTTCTTTTTTGTGCACGAACTTTTTAATTATCACTCATACGTACTGTTGGACGGACATATATGCATGACAATCTGATATATCAACGATCGAAAACCTAACTGCTGTTGTGCATGCAAATGAAGCACTTAAGTGCAATGTAGTTAATTAAGTTATAAAAATTTGCGACTTTATTTTGTTATTTACTGTTAATATTTTTAAAATTTAAGAGCATAATTATGTTAAAAATAATAAAGAATTAAAATATTAAAATAATTCAATTTTCGTAAAAAATAAATTTAAATAAATTTTTAATATGATGTTTCACATAAAAATGCAAATGCTATTAAATACAATTTATCAGATTAAACGTTTAAACTTATATTTTGTGTTGTCCTACGGTTCAAACTCAGTACGGTGAACTTTTTCTAGGACATATAGGTACTAATATTAGAAATATATGATTCAACAAAATAAAACAATTTTGCAAGCGGAAGAAATTCTCTACTGAAACAAAAGCGAGAATCAGCCCCAGAAATCTCGAGTAAGTGAAAAATATTTTCTTTATAAAACTAAAATATTTTTTAATATTTCTTAAAACCACTGATGATAAATACTTGAAAATACTCGAAACGGCGTTGTATGTTCAGCCAAACTTCAATAAATTAACTAAAATTTTTGTTGTTGCCTTATATTTCTATATGAACCCTGCTTACTTTTGAATAGTTTCTTTTCGTCATAAAACGCGTCAATTTCGGTAAAGAAAATTTAACATCCTTCAAAAAGTTCACGTTCGGGTTGTGATAATATCAATATACATTGCATTCAATATTTTTTTGACACCGTTTCCCAATACTAGTAGCCCTATAAGACTAATCCATTGACAAAATGCTGAAGAATTCATACTCATCAGATTGTGATTAGCATTGAACATTTACACAGTAATACGAAAAGCACAATATGGGTTAAAAGTGGGTCAGCATTCCATTGAATTTTAACTGTTTAAAGTTGCAAAAAAAAATAAATTAGCATATCTACAATCTACTTCCTGCTATAAGAAAAAAAACCAGAAATAGTTACATTCATAATTATTTAGTTATTATTTAGTCAATAAAGTAATGAACATAAACAATAACATACCAGTACCACAATTTGGATTTAAGATAGCAGATTTCACCTAGATATTACTGATTAGAGTATCTCAAAAAATTCAATATTCATTTATAAGTAAGTCAACATTACTAAGTCATTAAAGTTTTTGATAAAAAAGCAGATACAAGATTGATTGTTAAAATAAAGATATGAAAAAGTTGTCAGCAAGATGGAATCTGCGTTTACACACTGTAAAGCAGAAAAACATACGTGTCATTACCTCAAAGCAATGCTTGTATTTATTTCAACGTAATTTAAAAGTTTTTCCATGCACTAACAACAGTAGATGAGATATGGATACATCGTTTCCGGAGAAAACAAAGAAAAAGTCAATAAAGTGGACTTACCATGATGAATTTGATTCAAAAGAGCATGCTCCACTAACTAGAAAATGGCTTCGTTTTTTTGGGACGTTCATGGGAAAATTATGATTGAATTAACCTAACCACGAGTTCGCGGAAACAAGGAAATATATACGGAGGACGAAAAAAGGATGTTTCAACACGAGAATGCACCCACTTATTCGTCAACAATTGCGACAATAAAAAATTGCTAAAATTATATTATAAAGTATTATCGCATTTATCATATCTGCTAGATTTATTTTGATCTAACATATGTTTGCATATGAATTTAAAAAAAATGGATTTGCTATTTTGAAAGAAATTTTAATTTAACTCGAATGTAATATTATATCTCCAACTAATGAATATTTTATGGACTTCTAAAAATCCAATTTTAAGAAGGTATAAAAATAATTTCAATACTATCACTAGAACTACATAGAGCATCAAGAGGAGTACGTATATAGAAACTAAACTTTTATTAATTCTAAAACATTTTTCGAATATTTCTAGTGTTGTTCTAGTGTTCCAAATATTGTTCAAATATTCCGATGAAGTGTTTCTAATATTGTTCTAGAGCTGTTAGTATTGTTTTAATGCTATTCTAATGTCCTTAATTTTTTATTCTAGTGTTCGTAATTTACTTTGTAGTGTTTCGTTGAATAGTATTTCTAATATTGTTCTATAGTTATATAGAAATCATTTTGATGTAAGGGTATAGCTTAAAGAAGGGGTATGTCAGGAAATAAACTTAAATTTAAAAAGTGAAAGACCACTTTGAACCTAATTATCAGTTCTAGTAAAACAATTTTCTGTTTTTTTTTTTGTTTTTCAGTGTTCCTAGTATTCGTAGTATACCTAGTATTATTCAAGTCTTCCTAAAGTAAGAACACACTTGCAGTAAATGTGAGAATGCTGAAAAAGAAACTTAAACTTCAGAAAAACTCAATTCCGTCTATCATTTACCGCAGAATTAACAGCCCCAGTAAAATAATTTTAAAGTTAGTATTCTCTAGTATTTCCAGTGTTGTTCAAGTATATGTAAGACAGATCCTATGAAGAGGGTATGTCGAAAAAAAACTAAAATTTTAGAAAAATCAGCTCCGTTTTTCATTTACGACTGACTTATCGAACCATCAACATATAAAGATTTTCTAGAGTTGTGTTTTCTAGTATTCTTAGTGTGAGAATACTTGCAGTAAATACATAGACATATGTATACGTATATAAATATGTTGAAAGCAAAAAGAAAAAGAAATATTTAACTCGTTCTATCATATATCGCTGATTTAAAACAGTCTGACTAGAACAATTTTCCATGGTTGTGTTATTCAGTGTTCCTAGTGTTGCTCTAGTGTTCTTAATGCTAGTAAACTCTTGCAGTAAACGTATAGAGCAGATAGGTGGTATGTCGAAAAACACTTTTAAACGTAAAAGTAAGCAAAAATACA